TATTATTTTATACATATATATATATATATATATATGATATAATGCCGTATACAACACGCGTTTTCCTGCTCTAGATAACCGAAGGAAAGTCGCCACGGTATCCCCGACTCCACGCGCGTTCGCGGCCCCGAGAGAAACCTATAATACGTAAGAAGAAATGTGCAAAAAGAAATCGCGTTATACACGTAATTGTCCGGCGACGGGAGACGATTATTGTTATTATTATATCCGCCGCGCGTATATCCGCTCGGGGAAATCGTCGCGACACGTTTAGCTCTGCGAATCCTCGAACGTTCCGTACGAGTCATGCAACTTAATTAACTATTAACAATAGTCTAAAGATGTCGAATCTATTTTTAAAACATGGCGTGCGCGAGAAAAAGAAAAAGAGAAAAAATCCATATTTTGCTATTGACTGGGAATCGATACGAGATTCTGCTAACAATAACGACGATGATCGATATACACAGAGACACATACACACATACGTACCTCAGAGATCGACCGTGATATCGATACGACTTCTCTAGCTGATACGACATATTTGTTTTTTTAGGGAGAGAGAGGTCTGACCGTTTATTTTGGCTATTATCGGCATTAACTCTTCTACGACATTGTAGTTCATAGAGCGCGTGTCGCGCATTGAACGTGATATAACGGAGAAAATAATACCGCGCGCGAATCGCGGCGGACGGTTCTCCGGCCGGCTGCGAGCGCAGCTAATGGTTTTAGGTCGTAGATAGCGAATAATAAAAGGATGAAAAAAATGCACACGTAGAATAATCTGGGAATTTAAGTGTAGCGAACTGTTGGAGGCAACCGAATCGTGTGTTATGTACACGACATATTTACGAAGAAACGAAAGAGACAGATCTGCACGCGAGCAAACATTCGACTCTTTCGATTCTTATTCTTTTTTTTTTTTTTTTCGCCGACTTTCGCGACTTGCTGCTAAAAGTTGTGAATCGCGCGATTCCATACGCGAGTCTCTCGTTTAGATATTTTAGCCGAGAGAGGAAGAAGAGATATCGGTATAGTTAATCACGTAGGAGGGCAGTTTATGGTTCGTCGGACACGGCGTGTCGTTCCGTTCCGTTCCAGGGGTGCGAGGAAAAAGAGCTAAAAGGGAAGAGAGAAAAAAAGAGATATTCATCGCGCGCGCGCGTTTTGCGAAGAAGAATCTTGCGATACCGCTGCTCGGATACTTGCTCGAGCCCGTTCCCTTTTCGTTCTTTGCGAACTAGCGAACCGTCAATGGATTATATCTGTATTTAAGATTAGATCTCAATACGTCGCAAATGTATGCAAGGCCTAAATACTACTATGTAAACCGTAAGCCTCGTGTCGTCTAATCGGGAAACGAAAGGGAAAAAAATGATGAAATGTGCGGATATATATAACGTATATATATATATATATATATATTATATTAAACGAATCATTCCTCGATGCTATATATCGAAAAATACTACGATATAATGTAACTGCGTTATAACTACTCGTCTAAATCCTCGTAATGAAGTCCCATGCGTTATTATCGTTACATACAATATCACACATGCACGCGTGTACGCGGGGAGTGGACGCGTAATCTCTCCCTCTCTCGCGAATACACGTGCGTGCGATATATTTCCACGCGCGTACAAGGCAAGGCACACTCACGCGTAATAAGCAGAAATTGCACGCCCTCGCGTCGTCGCGGATATGCCTTCTCGAAGAAAAGCCTCATTCGATGTTGAACTTGAAAGTTTTAACACTTGTTGATTAGCTGATTAAAAAAAAAAAGAAGAACGCGTCACACGCGATCGACGTCGCGATGACTAACGTAATGCGTCACGTCGTCTTTAGGAATAAATAACTCGCTCCTGTACGATCAAGAGCGGAAATGCTGTCCGAGTCAAATGTAGCAAAAAAATCGAACTGTATTTGTATCGAGCTTCTCTCTCTCTTCTCTAGAGAAGTGCCAGTAGTTGGTTGGCTGGCCAGCTAAGATCTAGAGAAAGTTTAACGAGACTCACAGATAGAGAAGCTCGTTCAGTTTGAAAACAGTTCACGATCTCCTCACGTCGGAAAGCATTTTTGCTGTCGATTGCACATGTACAATATTGTATACACGACGACCGTAAGGGGGTTGGGGAGGGGGGAGGGAGGGTTAGATGATTGTGTGTTCGAACGGATGGATGAATGAACGAAATCTCTTGTTTCGGTCCCGAACGGGAAAGACTCCGGCAATTGTAACTCTTAGTACGTAATCGTAGACGCAATCGTAAAGAAAAGAACATATTGTATTGAAGCGAGTGAAGATCAGGCCCACCTGTACACGTACATATACAAAATACACACATATATATATATATATACACACACAGATACAGATACCTATGCGCGCGCGTATATATATATACAAATATATAAACTACGTATATTTTTATGAACGTGATGAGGTAACAACGCATAGCTTGTAATATCGATTTTAACGACCGACCGATTTACCTGGCCCCTCGCGTGCGATTAAACGATTGAGCGGGTGTAAGACTAAGCACTTGGACAAGTTTTTTCCTCGCCTTTCTACCTCGCCATTATTTCCCTCCGTATCTCTCCTTTTTCTTCCGCTCTTTTTCTCTCTCTCATTCCTTGCTCTCGAGTTGCGATGATCATTGAAAACGCAAAGATCATGATTTTTTTTTTTCAGGTTCGCGGTAATCACACCGTAGGAGCCATCGTTTAAACGAATTTTATTATTTCATTATACATGTACGAAGTGAACGTTTATTGCTCCAACTTAAATGTATTTTTAATCAATCGATTTTTGAGTTATAAAACTATTCTCCTTTCATGTATTATAATTTGTTCATATCCTATATCTATATCTTAAGTTGCGACAAAATTGCGTAAATTCCAATAAATATTAAGCTGCGATAGACATATGTGAAAATTCGAAGGCACTCGTTCGATATACATGTATTATTAGATCCAAGTGATTCAAGAAAACGTAATCGAATAGAAAATAAAATCAATATGTTTGAACTTACCTTATAGAAGACATCCGGAACGTATTGTTTATCAGTCGACTCGATCACATAGCCCAATTCCGGTGCGTCTTTTGTAGGAACCAAACAGCCATCTCGTACTAACGCCATGCATTGATTGGATACCTGATAGCCCTCCATGTGTACTTGATTTTTATCATCTCCTGTAATATTTCGAAGAGATATATATATATCTGATAAGCACTAGTTTTGCATGGCGTTTGTAATAGAGATTTCGTAATATTCGAAGGAAATATTGTTATTGTATATTATTAGGTTGATAAAAAAATTCATTTTTTTTCTGTTAAAAAGAAATTTGCTTCCGTTACATATAATGCAAATTTCAAACAGATAAAAATATTTAATGTTGTCAATGAAAATGAAGTTTTAAGTAATTTAAATTTACTTATTTTTTTTTAATGCAAATTTACATAAAATTTAATTTGTTTGTAATGCAAATTTACATAAAATTTAATAAAAAAGATACTAAATTTTGTAAAATATTATGAAAAATATACTAAATTTTATATACATGTACACAAATATACTTTTCGATTGTAGATACATTAAATTTAATTTAGTGTCATAAAATTGAATTTTATTTGTATAATTAAAAGTACATTAAATTTCATGACATTTTTAATAGTGCACGTGATTAGTGTTCTAGTATGGCAAGAGGAATAAATTTTTTAATCAACCTAATAGTTTCGAAACAAAAAAGATACATGTAATGGAAGATTGAGACTTACCTGTGACGCAAACAGTTACAAATTTTGAGCCAAAATAACCATTAGGCGAGAAGCGGCAAGGATTTGGATACCGATTTTGAAAGTACCCAGCCATAATGCACTCTTGAGCGGATAGGAAATGACTTTCTATATTGCGGACATGTTTGACCTGATCGAATAAAACTGACAAAGTTAATCGCCGCACGTACGAATTCGGTATTAAGAATATATTACACAAAAAATAAGAATATATCAAATTACCGTTCCCTTCTTGACATCGTCGGCTATGAGGTCAGTGAAAATCCATCCGACTCTCCTCAGATTAAGTGTCCGGCCTAATTCCTCGACTAACGCTTCCCTTTCGTCCGGCAGAAGTCTTATCGTGTCTTTTGTACTTTCCTGACCAAAAAAAGAAAAAAAAACGTGAACGTTATCTCGGTACTTCGTTAACCAAAAGTGTATGTTTATAGATTTGTCGAAGATTGTACGAGCGCTATGTACCTGCGGTGGTTCGTATATGGCCGCAACGACTGCTCTAATTCCTAGCGGAACATCCGAATGTACTTCGTATCTTCCGTATAAATAGCCGATACGTTGGTGCCCAGTGCTGCGCCAATAATTAAGAAAACGTTCTACTAAACTAGCATTCTCGAACATGACGTTGTCCACATGCCGATAAGTCTGGCGGTTCAGAGTGATTGAGTTCGGTTGGCATTTGCTGCAGATCCCTCGCGGCCACGGCGGATGGTCCTTGCAGCCAGTCTTTATACGGCAGCTTATGTCGTCTAATTGTATAAACTTGCCCCTGCGACAAATATATACGAGATACAGTCGAACAAGTCTTGTAATGTTTATAATTATTTCACGACGCATTTCGTACCTATCAACTCCGGCAGTGAGCTTCCTGAGATACGAATGAAAAGACAAGTGCTTGATATTTTGTTCCTTCAAATAAATCTCATCAAAAGGTTCCAGAGGTGAACAGTGAACGCAGCATCCTCTCGCTCCATGCCGACAACTGTAAAAATTATTTTTCATTTTTTACTTTGATACTAACTTTGAATTATTTAGATTACTTACAGTTTTTCGTCGCGTTTACGCTGAATTTTGCCGTCCATTTTCCATAATTGCTCATCG